GGTGGAAGGTGTTAGTGAAGTGTATGAACTGTTCGAGCTCCTCGTGGGAGCACGAGGCGGCGCTGATACAGTCATCAATGTAACGGAGGAAGAGGTGGGGTTTAGGGCCGGTGTAGGTATGGAAGAGGGATTGTTCCACGTAACCTACAAAGAGGCAGGCGTAGCTTGGGCCCATGCGGGTACCCATGGCTACCCCCTTTGTCTGTAGGAAGTGGGAGGAATTGAAAGAGAAGTTGTTGAGTGTGAGGATGAGTTCGGCTAAGCGGATGAGGGTATCAGTGGAGGGGGACTGGTCGGGCCTGCAGGACAGGAAGAAGCGGAGGGCCTTAAGGCCATCTGCATGGGGAATGCAGGTGAAGAGGGACTGGACGTCCATGGTAAAGATGAGGTGTTGGGGACCGGGGAATTGGAAGTTCTGGAGGAGGTGGAGGGCGTGGGTGGTGTCACGGACATAGGTAGGGAGTTCCTGGACCAAGGGGGAGAAAATGGAGTCTAGATAGTTGGAGATCAGTTCGGTGGGGCAGGAGCAGGCGGAGACAATGGGTCGACCAGGGCATTCAGGTTTGTGGATTTTGGGAAGGAGATAGAAGCGGGCAGTGCGAGGTTGGGGAATGATGAGGTTGGAGGCCGTGGGTGGGAGGTCACCTGAGGTGATGAGGTTGTGGATGGTTTGCGAGATGATGGTTTGGTGCTCAGGGGTGGGGTCATGATCAAGGGGGCGGTAGGAGGAGGTGTCGGAGAGTTGGCGTCCGGCCTCGGCGATGTAGAGGTCAGTGCGCCATACTACAACTGCGCCTCCCTTGTCCGCGGGTTTTATGGTGAAGTTGGGATTGGAGCGGAGGGAGCGGAGGGCTGCACGTTCTGCGGGGGAGAGGTTGGAGTGGGTGAGAGGGGTGGAGAGGTTGAGGCGATTGATGTCTCGACGGCAGTTGGAGATGAAGAGGTCGAGGGAGGGTAGGAGGCCTTGGGGTGGTGTCCAGGAGGAGGGGGTGTGTTGGAAGCGGGAGAAGGGGTCAGTAGAGGGAGGGTTAGGTTCACGGTTAAAGAAGTAAGCGTGGAGGCGGAGGCGGCGGAAAAACTGCTCTATGTCCAAGCGTGAGCGGTATTCGTTGATCTGTGGGTGGAGGGGGACAAAGGTGAGCCCTTTACTGAGGACTGACCGTTCGTCCTCAGTAAGGGGTAGGTCTGGGGGGATGGTGAAGACTCGGGAGCGGTATTCGTTGCCTAGTCCCATTTGCCAGCTTTTGGCCCATATCCCTCTCAACTCTTCCTTTTCATATATCCATCCAGATACCTGTTAAATGTTGTAATTGTATCAGCTTCCACCACTACCTCTGGCAGCTCGTTCCATACATGCATCACCTCTGCGTGCACAAGTTACCCCTCAGGTCCTTTTAAATCTTTTCCCTCTCACCTTAAACTTATGCCCTATGGTTTTAGACTCCCGCACCCTCGGAAAAAAATCCTTGGCTATTCACCCTATCCAATTAACAATTTGTGGTTAAACCCAGAAACCTGGTCAGTGTTTTCTGTTAATCTGAGTCCATCACAGAGGCAAAGTAGGGTCTTTTGAGTAATTTGGTGAAATATAACTATTCTGATGACCCTGGGAGTATCAGCACACTTTTTCAAAGGGGTCAGAGACGTAGTGGTCAGGATAATTAGGGATTTGATACTGTTCTCTGCAGCCATGAGCTTGAATCCTGAAGGATAAGTTGCTTTCCAGTGCTAGGGTTAAGGACATCTCCTTGGGGCTGGACAGGAACTTGGAGTGGAAGGGAGGAATCCTATTGGCATTGACCATGTATCAGGAAATCCACAGGTTCACAACTATGTACTGGGAGAGGGGATGTTTAGGCTTACAAAGCAAAAGGATGTGGAGGCATTGTTGATAGGTTTTATGTAAAGGAATAGGGATGTCTTGCTGCAGTTATACAGGGCCTTGGTGAGGCCACACCTTGAGTATTGTGTACAGTTTTTGTCTCCTAGTCTGAGGAAGGACATTCTTGCTATTGAGGGAGTCCAGCAAAGGTTCACCAGACTGATTCCCGGGATGGCAGGGCTGACATTTAAAGAAAAACTGGATTGACTGGGCTTGTACTCACTGGAATTTAGAAGAATGACGTGGGAATCATGTAGAAACATAAAATCCTGATGGGACTGGACAGGATAGATGCGGGAAGAATGTTCCTGATGTTGGGCAAGTCCAGAACTAGGGGTCATAGTCTAAGAATAACGGGTAAGCCAAGCAAGACTGAGATGAGAAAGAATTTCTTCACTCCGAGTTATGAACCTGTGGAATTTTCTACCACAGAAAGCTATTGGGGCCAGTTTGTTAGATATATTCAGGAGGGAGCTTGCAGCTAAAGGATCAAGGGATATGGAGAGAAAGTGGGAGTGGGATACTGAAACTGCCTGATCAGCCATGATCATATTGAATGGTGGTTCAGGCTTGAAGGGCTGAATGGCCTACTCCTGCAACTATTTTCTATGTTTCTACGTTGGTACCAATGACATTGATAGGACTGGAAAGGAGGCTGTACTGAAACAATTTGAGCAGTTAGAAGCAAAATTTAGAAACAGAACCTCCAAGGAAATAATCTCAGGATTACTACCTACCATATGGGCAAACTAGCAGAGGATAAGTAAAGTCAAGGAGATCAGTGTTGGCTTAAAGATCGGGAGCATTGGGCTTTAGTTCATGGCACACTGGCACCAGTACTCCTGTAGGAGAGAAGTGTTTCGGTGGAATGGACTTCCTGTCAGCCATGTTGGTACCAATGTCCTGGCAATTCATATAACTAGGCTGTCGAGAGGGTTTTAAAGTAATGAGAGGCAGAGCATTTGGAATAGGGGAAATTTAGGCTTACGACACAGAAAGATATGGAGGCACCGCTGAACAGCAGTTTAGGTGAAGTTACCCAATGCAGGACAGGAGGGACACTGTGTATAAACACATTAAAGAATCAGGTTCACTAGAATCTAATTTCATTTCAAATAATAATGAAATGGCAACATAAATAGCTCTTTGCTTCAATTCATGCAGTATTTACAAAAAAAATACATTACTGGCACAAATGGAGGCTGACAGATATAATCAATGCTGGGAAATAAACATTCAGGGGTATAAGTGAAACAACAAGAAATGATCTTGGATCTGAAGATGTACAATCTGTATGGGTGAAGGCAAGACTCAAAAAGAGGATGATGATCCAGTCGAAAGCCCTCCTAACAGGAGTTTTACTATAGAACAAAGAATAAATCAAGATATAATGAGGACGTGTGAATAAAGGCAGCACGTTAATCATGAGTGGCTTGAATCTTCATGTAAATTGGAAAAATCAAACATGTAGAGGAATCCGTGACAAAGAATCTATAAAATGTATTTTTCACCGGAGTGTAGGATGTTGACGTTTGCCTTTTTGAAGTTTATAAAATCATGAGGGGCATACCTAACATGAATGACAGGGGTTTCCTTAGGGGGTTTCAAGACAACAGGGCGTATTTTTAAGGTGAGAGGAGAAAGATTTAAAAAAAAACAAGAGGGAACTTTTTCCACAGACAGAGTGGTTCACATGTGGAATGAATTTCCAAAGGAAGTGATGGATGCGGGTACAGTTACAATGTTTAAAAGACATTTTAATAAATAAGACATGTTTGGAGTGATACCTGTCAAGCGTCGGCAGGTTGGGACTAGTTTAGTTTGGGATTATGGTCAGCATGGACTGGTTGGACCGAAGGGTCTGTTTCTGTGTTATAAGTCTCTATTACAGGTTGAATATGTTGGATTTGTACTCATTAAAGGTTAAAAGAATGAGAGAGGCCTTACTGAAACATACAAGATCCTTAGCAGACCGGACAGGGCAGATTTGGAAAGGTTGTTTCCTCTTGTGGGACAGCAGAGAGCATAATCTCAGAGTAAGGGGGAACTTTCTTAAGACAGAGATGAGGAGGAATTTCTTTTCTCTGAAAGTAGGAAATCTGTGGAATTATTTACCACAGAGGGATGTCAAGCTGGCTCATTAAGAATATTCAAGGCTGAGATAGACTGATTTTTAATCAGGAAGGGAATCAAGGGTTATGGGGAATAGGCAGCAAATTGGAGTTGAGGATTATCAGATCGGCCATGATCTTACTCAATGACAGAGTAGGCTTCATCGGCAGAATGACCACCCTCTCTGCTCCTACATCACATCAGGTGGTCCTTTAATAATGTCTTGGAGCTATCAACCAAACTGGAAACAAAGTCATTCCCACCACTACTGTCAAAGTAATAGAAGTCAAACAGTTATCATACTGTTACGACAGCCTTTAGGTTAATGCTGACAAACTTTATAGAAACTTCAAACAGTTGTTTTTTTTGAACTCTCAGACACAGGCAGACTGTGCTTTTTCAAAATTTAAAGTGTTATCCATTTAAATAATAATAGCATGAGAGTTTGACAGACCTTAACTACCCTTTATGAGCACTTGTGTCTACGCTAAAAAAACCATAACTCATGTACTGTGGGATGAGGCCCTAACTCGACTGAAAATGGAGTGTGTCTGAACTCAGCAATGGCCCTATTGAGATCGGGTGTCCCAATTGTGTCAGTCGAGAATCCCATCCCAAACCAGCAAAGCCAGCATGTGTTGCGACGTCGGGTTACCACTGCCGTTTTGGATAAGCTGTGGAGTCTCAATGACCTTGGCGGAAGTTAGTGGACGCATCGCAGAGATTTGGATGACCCTTAGCTTATGGACCCTATAAGATGGGAGCCCAGCAGGGGGAGGGGGTGAGAGCATGTAACAACATTCCTGAACATTTTGTCAAGATTTTGAAACTTGTCTGGTACAAGATTTACCCATCAGGCGCACCAGATTCTCACTTTCTCCACTTCGTTTGACTTATAACAAGCAAGAATTCTGGCTGCTTGTCCAACATAGTAACCAGGAAGATTCCCCTCTGTTAGTTAACTGCTCACCTGTCAAACTATCTTGCAAAAGAAAATGGCACCTTGTCATTCTCTCCTTGAAAATTTATTTGCTTTTGATATTTTCAGTTATATTAACAAATCTTTTGTTGAAGTAAAGATTAACGAATAGCAAAATCTCATTATTGACAGCACTTAATAAAGTTGCCTCGAAGCATTAGTGGCCACATCCCTTTCAGTCAACATAGTATTTACACAGTTGATACAGTCAGTCAGAGAAAGGCAAATTAATTAAATTATGTAAACAAGCTGACCTAGCTTACACTTGTTTTCATTGAAGTTTCTTACGATAAAATTGTGCTACACTTCAAGAGCTGACTATCAAGCTGTTTATTAAAAAAAATGCTGGCACTTTTGTCCCTTAAAAAAAAACTTTGTCATAGTTGCACATTTCTGACTAATGAAATCCCTTTCGTAGTGCCTTGTTTTTCACCATAGAAAACTTGCTGACAAACACAAGTCCATAGTGGCTATCAACCAAGTACTGGTAAGTCTTGCTTCTGGAGGCAGGAGGATCGGCAACAACTACTTGAGAAGCCAGCTGCATTGCTGCGCTGCTGGGAACAATGTAGTGTGATGTTTTTGTAACATAGTCCACCAGTCGATCGTACTGTTGTTCAGAAAGTCTCTCTCGAATGCCATCTCCCTAGACAAGACAGAAAGAAACCGTGTCAAAATTGAGCAGCCAATTCAATGGGTAAGCCAGAATCACTTCTACGCCAGCTCTCAGACTTACCCCTTGGATTTACTGGAAGCACTGTGTAATTATACGTACAGGAATAGACCACACAGATGTACAGTGTGAAGGATATCCTCCACATGTGCTTATGCATCACGCAAGCATCCTCCCACATGATTCTGCTTTTATTGGCATTTTCTTCTATTAACCTCTCCCTCATTCATAGTTTCCCATCAATGCTATTCACCTCAACAGCTTCATGTCTAACTCCCTATGGACTTCTCTGAGCCCTAGTTTCACAGAACTCATGACTCAATTTAATCTACAGTGAGCTAATATGCTCACCTGGTGCCTTTTCAGCTGCAGACTAGCTTCGATATGTGGGCTGACTTTCAAGTCTCTCCCACGTTCCAGGGTCATGTTATCATGAAGATCTCATCAATATGAATGGGGATTAATCACAAGCCATGCCAAGAAAACGCTCCAGTGAAAGGTTCACTCAAGTTAAAATTTGGATGAAAGGGCCAAGAAGGAAGATGATGGGGAACATTCCTTGTAGGCCTGGAGAAATCTATAAATTGAGGGAAGTGATTAGGCTGATTCAGATATAACTGGATCAGTGCACCGACAGAACTAACTTAATGAACAGGCTGGTAGGTGAGAGAAGGTCGATGTTAGTAAGGAAGATGGACTAGGAATTTTGAGGAACTTGAAGACAGATAAGTCTCCCGGGCCTGATGGGATTTATCCAAGGATTCTATGGGAAGCGAGGGAAGAGATCACAGGGTCTTTGGTGACGATCTTTTTGTCCTCACTGTCCACGGATATAGTGCCAGAAGACTGGAGAGAGGCAAACGTCATTCCCTTGTTCAAAAAAGGGAATAGGGATAACCCCGGAAATTACAGGCCGGTTAGTCTTACGTAAGTGGTGGGCAAATTATTGGAAAGGGCTCTGTGAGATAGGATTTATGATCACTTGGAAAGGCACAGTTTGATTCGTGATAGTCAGCATGGATTTGTGAGGGGTAGATCATGCCTCACAAACCTTATTGAATTCTTTGAAGAGGTGACCAAACACGTGGACGAAGGTAGAACAGTGGATGTGGTATACATGGATTTAAGTAAGGCATTTGATAAGGTTCCCCATGGTAGGCTCTTGCAGAAAGTAAGGAGGCATGGGATAGGGGGAAATGTGGCAGATTGGATTCAGAATTGGCTGACCCTTAGAAGACAAAGAGTGGTAGTCGATGGAAAATATTCAATATGGTGCTCAGTTACAAGTGGTGTACCATAAGGATCTGTCCTGGGTCCTCTTCTATTTATGATTTTTGTAAATGAGTTGGATGAAGGAGTGGAAGGGTGGATTAGTAAGTTCGCGGACGATACGAAGGTGGGTTGAGTTGTGGATAGTGCGGAGGGCTGTTCTGGGTTACAAAGGGACATTAATAGGATGCAGAGCTGGGCTGAGAAGTGGCAGATGGAGTTTAACCCTGAAAAGTGTGAGGTGATTCATTTTGGAAGGACAAACTTGAAAGCAGAATACAGGGTTAACGGAAAGATTCTTGGCAATGTGGAGGAGCAGAGGGATCTTGGGGTTCATGTCCACAGTTCCCTGAAAGCTGCCACCCAGGTGGATAGAGTTGTTAAGAAGGCGTATGGTGTGTTAGCTTTCATTACAGAGGGATTGAGTTCAAGAGCTGTGAAGTTATGCTCCAGCTATACAAAAGCCTGGTTCGGCCACATCTGGAGTATTGTGTCCAGTTCTGGTCGCCTCATTACAGGAAAGATGCGGAAGCATTGGAAAAGGTGCAGAGGAGATTTACCAGGATGTTGCCTGGAATGGAGGGATGGTCTTACGAGGAAAGATTGAGAGCTAGGGCTTTTCTCTTTAGAACGACGAAGGATGAGAGGTGACTTGATAGAGGTGTACAAAATGATCAGAGGTATAGATAAAGTGGACAGCCAGAGACTTTTTCCTAGGGTGGAGGTAGCTATTACAAGGAGGCATAGTGTTAAAGTGAGTGGAGGTGGATATAGGGGAGACGTCAGAGGTAGGTTCTTTACTCAGAGAGTGGTAGGGGCGTGGAATGCATTGCCGGAGAGGGTAGTGGAGTCGGCCTCATTAGGGGCATTTAAGCGGCTATTAGACAGGCATATGGATGATAGTATAAAGTAGGGGTGGAGGTTAGATAGACCTTAGGATTAGGGTAAAAGTTCGGCACAACATCGTGGGTTGAAGGGCCTGTACTGTGCTGTACTGTTCTATGTTCTATGAACAAATGGATAGGTGGAGTTGCTGAGAAAAAGGAAATGAGATATCCTGTCTCACGAACTTTCCCTTCCCCAAAACACTTTCCTGTAAAAAATATTCTGATTTCCATTTTAACGATTTTCCGTTGTATACGATGAAAACATATGGAGCTGTACTTGACTTCAGCTAATATAAGTTCTGCCACAGCAACACATCTCCCAGTTTACATTTCTTTTGACAAGTTTATAACAAAGAACTGAATCTATTTTACCCTGTCAATTAAAGCCAGGATTACCTCCAGTTTATTTAAAAAAATGGGGTGATTTATAAAGGATAAAGTATCAATTTAAATCCAATGAGAGGTTCAGATGAAACCTCTTGACACAGACAGTGGTTAAGATTGTTGCAATTGCTACTACTATCCTTGAAGGAAAGAAACTGAAATTCTTCTTGAGGAACTCTTGAGTTTATAGTGAATACTGATGGGCAGCTAACAAATTCATAAAATCTGTCTTGGTTGCATCTATCATTTAATGTAGCATTTGTGCTATGTTCAACCACATTTTTCCTGTTAATTTATGTCAAGCTCATGTTCATTCTGGATATTAGATTATTCCAGTAAAATTTCTTTTCTTCATCTAAAACCATGGAATCTTGTGGCTTTACTCTCTTAATAATTACTGGAGATTTCAAATTTCATCTGCTTTAATAAAAGTTCCTGGTCCCTAACTGAACTGAAATAAAATTGAGGGTTTCAGAAATCGAAATTAACAAATGGAAAATACTCCGTCCATTTGTCTGATTTTTCCACCACAGTAAAGTAAACAAGAAACAACAGCTTTCTGTAGTCATGAGTTTCTTGAATATTGTTGGAGCTGCACCTATCCAGGCAAGTGGGGAGACTTGTGCTTTGCGGATGATAGGCAGGAGAGTCAGGAGGTGAGTTACTTGCCACAGTATTCCTTGCCTCTAACCTACTCTTGTAGCCACTGGTGTTTAAGAGATGAGTCAGGTTGAGTTTCTGGTCAATGATAACTTCCAGGATGTTAATAGTGTGGATTGAGTGATGGTAACACCATTGAATGTCAAGGGGCAGTGGTTATATTCCATCTTAACGGAAATGGTCATTGACTGGCATTTGCGTGGTGCAAATGTTATTTGCCATTTGTCAGCCCTAGCTTGGATATTGTCCAGATCTTGTTGTATTTAAACATGGACTGCTTCAGTATCTGAGAAGTCGCGACGGGTGTTGAAGACTGTGCAATCATTAGAGAACACCCCGACTTCTGACCTTACGATGGAGGGAAGGGCATTGATGGAGCAGCTGAAAATGGTTGGACTCTACCCTGACAAACTCCTGCAGAGATGTCCTCGAGTTGAGATGACTGACCTCTAACAATCACAACCGTCTTCCTGTGTGTCTGGCAAGACTCCAACAAGTGAATAATTTGTCCCTCCCTTTGCTAGGGCTCCTTGATGCCACACTGTGTTGAATGCAGCCTTGATGTCAAGGGCTGTCATTCTCACCTCACCTCTGGAATTTAGCTCTTTTGTCCATGTTTGAACCGAAGGTAATGAGCTAAGTAGCTGAATGACCCTAGCGAAACACAAACCGGGCATCACTGAGCAGGTTATTGCTGAGCAGGTGCTGCTTGATAGCGCTGTTGATGACACCTTCCATCACTTTACTGATGGTTGATCATAGACTGATGGGGCAGTAATCGGACAAGATGGATTTATCCTGCTTTTTGTGTACAGGCCAATATAGGGTAATTTTCTAACTGTGCAATTGTTGGGGAGATGCCAGCATTGTAACTGTACTGGAAGAGTTTGGCTAGGGGAGCAGCAAGTTCTGGAGCACAAGTCTTCAGGACTATTGCCAGAACCTGTGCAGTATCCAGTACCTCTAACTGTTTCTTGACATCATGTGGAGTGAGTTGAATTGGCTGAAGACTGGGATCTGTGATGCTGGGGAGTACTGGCCGAGGCCGAGATGGATTCATTCACACTTCTGGCTGAAGATTGCTGCGAATGCTTCAATCTTATGTTTTGCATTGATGCGCTGGGATCTTCCATCAGAATGGGGATATTTGTGGTGCCTCCTCTTTCAGCGAGTTGGTTAATCGTCCACCACCACTCATGACTGCATGTAGCAGGACTGCAGAGCTTAGATCTGATCTGTTTGTTGTGGGATTGCTTAGTTTTATCTATCACTTACTGCTTATGCCATTTGGCATATAAGTAGTCCTGTTTGGTAGCTTCACCAGGTTGACACATCATTTTTGGGTATGCCTGGTGCTGCTCCTGGCATGCCCTCTTACACTCTCCACTGAACCAGGGGTTGGATCTCCTGGTTTGATGCTAATTGTTGAGATGGGGATATGCTGGACCATGAGGTTCCAGATTGTCTTGAAGTACAATTCGGCTACAGTTGATGGCACATAGCGTTTCATATCTGCCCGGTCTTCAACTGCTGAATCTGTTTGAAGTCCATCCTATTTAGCATGGCAATAGTGCCACACAACACAATGGAAAGTATTCTCAATGTGAAGATGGAACTTCATTTCCACAAGGACTGTGCAATGGTCACTTTTATTGATACTGTCATGGACAGATGGATCTGCAGCTGCCAGATTGGTAAGGATGAGGTCAAGTATGTTTTCGTCCCTCTTGTTGGTTCCATCACAAACTGCCGCAGACCCAGTCTAGCAGCTATGTCCTTTAGGACCCGACCAGCTCAATCAGTAGTACTGTTGCCAAGCCACTCTTGGTAGTGGACATTGATGTCCCTCATCTATAGTGCATTTTTCACCCTTGCTACCCTCAGGGTTTCCTCAGGGTTTTGTTCAACATGAAGGAGTACTGATTCATCAACCAAAGGAGGACGATATATGGTAGTCCTAAGGAGGTTTCCTTGCCCATGTTTAACCTTAAGCCTTCATGAGGTCTGGGGTCAATGTTGAGGACTCCCCCTTGAATGTATACCACTGTGCAACCACCTCAGGATATATCCAGGGATAGTGATGATGGCGTTTGAAACATTGTCTGTAAAGTATGATTCTGTGAGCATAACTATGAGGCTTGACAAATCTGTGAGACAGCTCTCCCAATTTTGGCACTTGTCCTGAGATGTTAGTCAGGAGGACTCTGCAGGGTCGACAGGGCTGTTTCTGCTGTTGTATGTCCCACCGTCTAGGTCAAAGCGTGGTGGTCTATCCGGTTTCCTTTCTTTGTTGAGACTTTCTAGCGATTGATAAAACTAAGCCACTTGCTAGGCCATTTCAGAGGGCAGGTGAGAGTCAAGCACATTTCTGCGTGTCCGGAGTGACATGTGGGCTGGGCCAAGTGAGGATGGCAGAGTTCTTTCCCTGAAGACATTAGTGAACCAGATGGGTTTTTCCAATGATCGGCAATGGTTTCATGGTCATCAGTAAATTCTTAATCCCAGACTTTTTTGTTATTGAATTCAAATTCCACCATCTGTGGGACTCAAACACGGGTCCCCAAAACATTAGCTGAGTTTCCGGATTGGTAGTCTAGCGATAATAACATTAATGCCATAGTTGCCTAGACCCCAAGCTCTCCACCTCACTTTTCTCTTTTAAAAGACTCCTTATAATCTGTTTGTCATCCCTCCTAGTATTTCCTGATATAGCTTGGTGTCATACTTTGTTTTATGATGCTCCTTTAAGCACACTGGGACATTTGACTAGATTAAAGGTTGTGTTACATATTGGCTTTTGCAGTTAAAAACAGTGGGAATGGTACAGTAATGGGCAAGATATATCAATAAAAATAAGTTTGATTTCTTTTAATGTGGGACACAATAAATAAAGAACTTGAACTTGTTAGTCAACTGCTTTGAAGAGTGACTCTAAGATAAAATTCAGGAGTCAATCTTTGATTGTTAAAGTTTAACAAGGGGCTGGATTGTTAAAATTTTGAAAGCACATTAGTTTGCTTTGAGATTAAATTTACTGTTACAAAAATTTCCCCTATAATTTCAATGTTAGTAATTTGTTATCCAATAGCAAGAGATAAAGTAGGAAAGAAACACCTAAAAACTACACTTAATGGCTCATGTGCTATTCCTCTATTTGTAATTTTATTTTAAGCTGATCAAGCAGCGGAGAAAGGATTGTCATATGAGCAAGTTTGTGCAAAACTCTATATTTTACAAAATGTTAATGTAGAGAACTGTCTTCAATTTGTGGAACAGACAAGGTCATTATTCAAAATTTGTGTTGGCTGACACCAGGGATATGGCTCTTAGCAAACAGGATATCTTATGTTAATGTGAATGAAAGACTTGTCTGAATGTCCAACTGTAGAAATATAGAGATTTACGATTTAAAAATTGTGGCTGTTGGGAAATGTTTCTCGAAGGATAAATAGACTGCGTTTAACAGGGTTCAAAAGCATCCATTTCCTATAACCGGTTCCAGTTCAGTTGTAGAAAGGCTTGTGCCTTACCTCTGCGTCATATGATACCCTCTGTTGCTTGAGCACAACCTGCAGCAAGTTCTCTTTCTTTGGATCCAGGCTGCACTCAATCTCAGTGACTGGGAAAGCCTGCTGCTGTGTGTCTTCACTGATACTGACCACAAACAATACCTCGGAGGTGAGCAGCAAGCAACCATCATACTCCTGGCCAGAATTGCTCACGATAACCACATCCAAGGCCATAAAGACTTCAGGTCTACCCAAAGACTGAAGCATTTTCCTGCCAGGAGGCAAAATGTTGAACAGATACCATTAATTTCTCTTTTTTATTTAAAATTCCAGAACTGAAACATTTCATGTTAGAAACAAACCTTTCCAAGATAAATG